TTTTTACGAAATTGATTATGAAATAATGAGGGAGGAAGATGAAGAGGTGATCTAAGTAACCTTGATGCATTTATTGATGTTACAGCAAGTAAAAATGATGGTAGTGTAGCAAAATGAGTCTACTTTCCAGATGCTCTTTACATTAACGAAACTCAAACGAATATTCAGCAAGCAACAGGAATATATAATTCACAAGTAAAAGAAAACTGAGATACTGTTAGAAAAATCATGTTGCAGTGAACTGAATATTGGATGGCTGATAAATTAACTCCTCCAGAAAGAGCCGAGTTTAAATGAAAAAGCGAAACAGAAAGAAAAAAACGATGAGTGCAAGCAGATATTAAGTCGGGTGGAGGTCATGATCATAAAATTACTGTTTATTGTCACCCAGAATTTAAAAGTCAATTAGAGAAAAATTTTCCTGGCTGGAAATGGAAAGAAGTTTCTCAAAAGAAAAAATCCAAGATGGCTACTGATCCTCGCTATAGAATTTTCCGAGAACAAGAGTGTAGAATTGAAGTTTCCCCCAAATAATTAGAGTCTAAGATTAATTAGAAGAGTAGGGGGAGATAGTTTTCCCCTCCCCTTATTTTTAATTAAATAACATTTGCTATATAAAAAAACATAATTAGAAATAATAATAAACGATAATCTTTAAAAATTGATAAAAGAAAAATTAAAATGGTTAATGCCCAAAAATGGCTAGAAAGTAAAAAAAAATATAATACAAAAGAAAAAAGAGCAGAAGTAAAGGAATTAGATATTAATGATAAGGATTTAGAGGGGGAGTTAGATTTAAGTGATTTTGTTAGTTTAGAATATTTGGATTGCTCTTGAAATAAATTAACTATTTTGAATCTTGATAATTGCTTACAGTTGAAAGAACTTATTTGTTGAGATAACCAGTTAACTAAGTTGAATTTGTCCAATTTAAGTCAATTAGAGGAACTTGATTGTAGTGATAATCTTATGCTCGAAGAGTTAAAACTTTCGCCTTTAATCCCTAACAATTTGAGATTAAATATTACAGATAATCCTAATTTAAAAGAAATAAAGAATAAGCCCAAGGATGCTACTAATATTGATACAGAATATCTATACTTTAATTTTCAAGAGTGGCTAGATGAGGAATATCCTAACAAGGAAAAAGCGGAAGTAATTGAAATTAAGTCTATAGGTTTTATTGATGAAAGTGAATTAGAAATAAAAGATTTTCCTAATTTAAAAGAAATAAAAAAGGATAGAGAAAATGTCTCACAAGTAACCAAAGTGACTATTAGTAACTGTCCCGAATTAAAAGAAATAGATTTCTCTAGTAATAAATTAGTAGAAATTAATCTCACGAATAACAAAAATTTAACTAATCTTTCGTGTTCAGACAATCTATTAAACAACCTAGATTTAAGTCAAAATCTAAACTTAGAGTATTTAGATATCATGGATAATAACTTCGAAAAGCAAGATTTGTCATTTTTAAGTAATTTGGTGAATTTAAAGACTCTTTTGGTAGGAAATAGCAGCGTTACTTCTCTTTATTTGAAAAAAGGAGAAGTTATTAAAGAAAAAATCCAAAAGGGTCTTCCTCATAACCGTTTCTATGGTTCCCTAGAGTTTTTGCAGGGTTTAAGTAAACTAGAGTATCTTGGTATTAGTTATACTGATATTGACAAAGGATTAGAATTTTTACCAAACAGTCTAGAAACTTGTAATGTCGGGAGTATACCAGAAACTAAAGTAATAAAATTAGATGAAGAATTGTTTTTGTATAGAAGTAACTTGAAAGTTTGAAAAGAAGCTCATCCAGAACTAATGATTAAAGCTTGAGGAGAAATTTTAACGGATAATTTCTACTATCATGATAATCCCTTAGAAACAATAGTAAGTATACCAAAAGAAATAATCAAGGAAAAAGAAAGTGAACCTAAAAAAGAAAACTATGATCTAGGTTATCTAGATTATCAAGAAGTTGTTTTGAAAGATGATGGTAGTCCTTTTTCTTGAGAAATTGTCCAAGATAAATTATTAACCCATAAAGATTTGCCTATTAGACTTTATAATGTTGAAATAGGTCAAGTAAAAGAAATAAAGGAAAGTACCAAAATAGAAAAATATGCCATTTTATCTTATGTTTGAGGTGAACCTAGTGATTTATCAGAAGAGATAAAGAAAGAATTAGATAGAGTATGAAGAAGTGTTGAATATAAAAATAAATTAAATTTTTCGGGATATAAAACTTTAAAAAAAGCTATTAAAACTTGTAAACTATTAGGAATTGATTATTTCTGAATGGATCAATTGTGTATTGACCAAAGTAATAATAAGGAAAAAGAAAAAGAAGTACCGAAAATGAGACGGTATTATAGTAATGCTGTCATAACTTTAATCTCAACTAATGCTAATACTACACCTAATGAAAGCAAAAAAGAATTTGTAGTGGAAACAATAAAGTTAATAATTGACTCCCCATGATTCACTCGCTCTTGGACTTTCCAAGAAGGACTTTTGTCTAGGCAAACAGTGTTTATGTTTGATAATGAGTTGGTTGACGGACGAGTATTAGCACAAGCCTGAGTGCTTATTCAAAAACTGCCAAATCTAGTAACTGGTGGTGGTCGTTACGAAAAATTAAATAATAAACCAGAAAAATTTGCTACTCCGATTGGTTGAGTACATCATGAGATAAAGCATAATTCAAAAGATAAAGCATCCTTGAGACTAAACGAAGCATTGCAAGCAATAAGAAAGCGTGGAAGGAGTATTCCTTTAGATGGCATTTACTCTATTTTGGGTTTGTTACCTTATGGAAAGCAAGTAAGGGTTAATTATTCAGAAAATAATACTCCTCAAGATGTTTTATCAGAAATAATGAAATTAAGTATTCAAGAAGAAGGCTATAGTGAGTATTTGAGTTGAATTGGGCCAAAAAGAAGAGAACCCAATTTATGATGAGTGCCCAAAATAGATGAAAATGGTTCAACTAATATCAAAATGACGATAAAAATTAACTGTGAGCCAGAAAGCAACAAATTTACTGCCAACGGTGTCAAGTTGATTGGCTCCAAACACGTAATAAATTGTTTAGTAGATAGTTTTCATACAAAAGGAAAAAAGGAAAAATATCGTATTTATTCAGAAGACGAGGATAACGGTATTCTCGCTGTAGAAGATACAATAAATAATAAATTTTGGTTAGAAGGAGCTAAGGAGACTCTCGAAAGGATAAAGAAAGGCGATATCGTAGTAATACCCAATGAAAAACAATGAAAAGTCAAATTTGGTGAGCATGATAATGTTACTAAGTTTGCTATCTTAGTGCCAAACAAAGGTAATCCTGATTGCCCAATAGATATAGTACCATTACACGAAAGTAGCGGTAAAGAAAGAACTTATGAGGAAATGGAAAAGGAACTATTTATTGACATGATAAACAAAGAAGTAATTGAGGAGATAAATCAGCAGGAGGATGAAGCAGAAAATAAATTGGAAGAAGAAATTCAGGTAGTAACAGATAATCAACAAGATGAAATCCAAGCCCAACAAGAAGTTCCTCCTAAAAGTAGTAATTAATTTTCTTGTAAATATTCTTCTCTTAACTCTTTTCTCTCCTTAGTCAAATCCATCTCCCCCAAATCATCTCCTAACCTAAAAGATCCATATTTTAACTTATCCACTCAACTCTGCTTAGTTGTTAACTCAATAATCCTCTTAGTGATGGTTATCACGGCAACTCCACAATCATAACCATTCCCTTGCCGAATATCATGTCTTTTGATTAAATATTCACTTAAATTAGGTTCATTAGTTTGTTGAATTTGTTGACATAATTCTGTTACTAATGGTTCTACATAACTATCATTAGCCCCTCGTAAAGTATCATAATGCCAAAACTTTTGGCTTTTTACCTGATAAACTAAGAGTGATCAGTGAAAATCAGGATTATTAACGGGTATAAAAACCAGTTCGCCACTAAAACCAGTTAATTCCTGCAGTAATTCCGGAAAGGCTAAGTGGGCGTTAGCTTCGGCCGTGCCTTTGGTTTCTTTAACGTAATGGAATTGATGGGCAGGTAAGATTTTAAATTTGTCATTTTTGACCAGTCTTTCTGTGGCTCAAT